AGTCTGGTACTTCCACAAGCGCTCATTTCATCGTCTTAATTAAGATCAAGAACTAGGTCAGCACCACGCTCCTCCATTGGGCGCACAACGTATGTGACCAGGACAGCCTTCCCGGCAAGTTATTGCACCACATCTCCACAGCTCTACAGCGTAACGGTTTTAAGAGAAGTCAAGTTAAAAGACATAGGCAACAACGTTCCGCCCCGACCGATGGATCTCCTCTACCCTATGTCAACTTAATAGGTGCACTAGTTCTTTCATCCTCCCATACATGGGTGACACTTCTCCCCACATTCAGCGTATACTCCAGCAACCAGGCATCAGAGTGTTCCACACAGCAAGATCAGAAACCTGCTGCAGTCACATTAGGACAAGCCAGATCTCAACACAAGGCCCGGCGTTTACAAGATCTCTTATGAATGCGGCCAAGTGTATGCTGGAGAGACGGGCAGGAATTTGTCTACCACACTCAGCAAACACAAGGCTCATGGATGACAAGTCATCTATAATCAAGCACTTCCCTGAAACTGATCACGTCATCCAATGGCAACAAGGAAAGCTCATCACCAGCATCGAACACTGGCGCCCTCAACGTATACGCGAGGCTTTTGAGATCATCAAGAACAAGACAGTTCGGCAAGACATCGGTTTCAACATCAGTTGACATTTGGCGCCCCATTTTGTCCCAGGGGTGTCCTTTACCCTAGGCACCCTCCACTCTCAATAGTTCAACACACATTGACACGCTTGAATGAGCAGTCACAGATTTAGCCACAGAATCCAGACAAAGTGCCCTCCTAAACGTACACACGCTCAGCCAGGATCCCTCATTTCCACGCCCAACCTAACCGAACGCGCACAGTACTTTAGCAGCACACCAGCTGGAATACAGCAGTCAGGGAATCCTGGAGACGCCGTAATGAACGGACGTATCGAACTGTCGCTAGTTGTCTGGCGCGAAATTAACAGTTGCGCGCGAAACCGGTGATCTATCGTGAGGATCGAGAGTGCATTTGTAGGGATCATACAGGAAAGGTCGGCTCAATGCAGCATAAGGTATATTAGATAATTTGTGAGACGCTAAACAATCTGTAAGGTCTAGAAAATGACCGATGACGAATCTGAAGATGAAGTGTCACAGGATCGAATGTCGAAGCAGAAACCAATTAAAAACCTCCAGGCTTTTGGGATGAGGCCCAGCCTCGGTCTACACTTGACACTTATCAGCCAGGTCCAAGAACAATCTAAACCCGAGCCTCAAATCCAAAACAATCCAGAAAACGAGCAATAACTTACGGTGACGTCTACAATGACTCGGACAGTACCACACCCAGTCAACCCATAAAACGCCGAGTCACCAACACTGGAAGCCAGCCTACGCTAATCGTTATTAACTCACCTGATGTACAGCTATCTAAAGTCAGCCATGTTAAAATAGCAAAATATCTCAATCAAGCAGTTGGCAAAGACGTAGTCAAACAGGTTACCAAAAGTAATCGAGGAGGCATTGCCGTTCGATGTTTCACTCGAGCCCAAGCAGAAAAGTATTACACAATCTGGTCAGTGGAGCGTAACTGCTTAGTATGCAACGTCTAAAACTCAAAGTAAAGACATTATAGCAGGTATTCCAACTGACGTCTGTGACGATGAAATTCTTCTCTCTCTCTCTCTCTCTCTCTCTCTCTCTCTCCCAAACTTTGTCGTGAACTTTTTGAGGACAATTATGCGGTTGAGCATTCTGGGAGGTCTACCTAGAGACGGTAACCTGTCCGCAATTCATTTGAGGCCAATCTGGATAAGGTACGAGAATTTTAGCATTTTTGGTTAGAGAGATTTTGACTGGAGCATTTTCAAGCTGAGTGACAAGGGCAGAGACAGCAGAAGCAAATTCAACTAGACCTTTGGCAGCATTTGCTGCAACTCTCAGCCACACTGTGAGTTTCTCTATCTTTGCCCTGATGAGTACACCTATGTCACCATACAGGCGCTGGAGCGTTGACATCGCCTTCGTAAAGGGGGTGGGATCATGTTTCATTCCCAAAATATCTTTCTTTGGTTGTCCGCTAAGTTTAGACTTTACTATGAAGTATTTCTGTAGCTCTACAGCCATTGACCATGGTTTCAAAGCATCGGTACTCAGAAGGATCACCCCCACTTAAGTTTGGGACTTCGACATCGCCCCCCCCCCTGAGTAGAGGCCGCCAACATGGAACTCAGCATCATTTGCTGGGAAACTGGGTGGTAGGTTTCAGGAAATGACTTATGAGTGGAAATAGAATCTACTGAAAAGACCAGCCAAAGAAGTTGGTGAGGCTCTCACAGGCATTGATGCACATGGTAGGGGCACAATCAGGAAGTCGTCGGTGTGAGTCTGGTGCCCAACGGAGAGGGGGCTTGGAGACTCATGGGATGACGACCAAAACGGTCCAATGGAGAGGTGGACGTCTGCCCCTGAACTGCATCTGCATGTATTGAGGACCAGGTCTGGGTTGTGGCCAAGGTAAAAGCTGTACGTGTACCTGGAGTTGGAAAGGAAACTGATTTGGAAAGAAAGGCAAGCCCAGAGTACATATACATGGGTGAAAAGGAAGTCACAAATGAGCTGCCCTTAGTAAGGGTGCCCGATTGAGGCATGGAAATGTGTGTTTGAGGCGATCCCATCAGGGACAGAGACAAGGCAGTGCTTGCTTGTGGCAAGGTAATCGCTGGTGGTGGCGATGCTGTCATGGGTAGTGGCAAAGCAGCGCTTGCTTGAGGCAAGGTAATCGCTGACGTTGGCGATACAATCGGGTGCATGGGCAAAGCAGTACTAGCTTGAGGCACGGTAATCGCTGACGGTGGCGATAAGGTCACGTGCATAGGCAATGCAGCACTAGCTTGTGACACGGTAACCGCTGACGGTGGCGATACGGTCATGTGCATAGGCTAAGCAGCACTAGCTTGAGGCACAGTAACTTGTGGCTGCAGCAAAGTCGTCATAGGCTTGGCAATGCTGTGTTAGCTTTAGACACAGCAATCATCTCTTGTGGTGATGCCACCAAAGGCAGGGGCGGTGCAGCAGTTGCTTGTGGCATGATAATCACGGACGGTGCCACAGGCAGTATGACTGCATATCGCCGCTGTCATGTAAATCATGGCTCACATGTACATTTGTGGTATGCAAAGTTTGCTGCTGAGGTATTTGGTTACCAGTACTTGGCCCCTCAAGTGGCAAAGAATTCTGTTCCCCTAAAGTGTCCTTGGGAACAAGCTCAGAGTCAAGTTTGGCATGTGCAAGGTTGATCTCGGCATTCCGCAGCTGCAGTTCTAGCTCCACCTGCCTGGAGAGGGCCTCCTTTCTCTTAAGAAGATATTGCTCTTCATTCAGGGCCTCACGTTGCCATTCATCGATTGCATCTTGCTCTGCTCTTGACTTCATTTCAATCTCCATGCATAACTTGGCAAGGGCAAGTTCTTGTTGTCGCAAATGGAGATTCTTCTGGGACTTCCGTGACAAAGAACGGCTGCTGCCTCCGCTCTGCGATAAATGCTGAACACTGCCTTGATCATCTGGCTGTGGTACTGAGGCATCGGGTTGCTGTCCAGCAGTTGATGCAGCTGCATGGGAGCGCAGAGCTCGGCGGGTAATGTTTAGGTCGGACTCTATGGTAACCAAAACGTGTCAAGCCACTAGCTGGATTTCTAGGATGCAAATTGGCATCACGTCTGGGTCACCAAAAAAATGTTGTGGATTGACGCGGTGTGGGACTACCAAAGGAATGTCCGGTGGAGACACTGGGCATGGTACCCGGTCTTGGTTATGTTTATTATCTCTGCATAGAAAATCTCCATCTAGGTTCATGCATGGGAAGCCCGTTCATCCTTTATCCGGCCATTATTTGGTATGGATTTTACTCTCCGTGTTCGAGCGGCATGACAGTGGCTCGCAGGCTTTTTTGTTGTCATTGCGCGGTGGCGCCCTTCGCATGTAAGCGAAACTTTTCGCAACATGCTGGTTAGCTTCTAATTCATACAAAGGCGTTGCAAGTCCAGATTTTTTTATATACTTCCGTGGTTGTATCGTCCTATTTGCTCATCTCCCGACGAGATGATCCTCCAAAGAGATTTAGACAGAATTTTTGAATGGTGCCAATGTAATCGAATGAAACTTAATCCCACTTAAACTGAAGTGGTTATATTTACAAAGACGAAGAGGGTTATCGACCCGCAGTATATCCTACACTCTGGTCCACTACAGGTTGTTAATGGAATAAAGTACTTCGGTGTGTTTTTAACTTACCGATTAACCTGGGAAAGGCACGTGAACTACGTGACGTCCAGGGCTAATAGAATGCTTGGTTTATTTCAAGTGTGGCTAAAGGTCTCTCCATACATGCTCGGTTTTGTCTCTACAAATCACTTGTTAAACCCATTTTAGAATATAAATTTCCCGTTTGGTACCTTAGGCTAATACACAGGGATTGATTGCTGATATTGAGCAGATCCAAAGACGGGCGACAAAAATTCTTCTCCGGCAGAGGAGAATGGAGATGCCCTACCTTAAACGCATTAAACAGTTGAACTGGTGTTCTCTCCAGTCCCGTCGGGGCTATCTACTGGTGCCTTTTGTTGCTAAAGCCTTATATCGTGACGTTTCATGCACTTCCGCGGTAGAACATATTCATATCAACTCCCGGCATATTGATTATTTAAGATTTTCTCATCTTGTAGCTAGAAACAATCGCTTACATCATAATACAATCCATGGATTCCCTCGTTTATGGGAGACACTCCCCAAAATCCTTCGAACTGCTTTATTGATGAGGTCTCTTTCATAGTTCGTAAAGCAGCTTAAATTGTGGTGTAAACTAAATAAACACGGTTTTAAAAATTCCCAGTTTGCTGTATATATAGGATGAGTGTCATACTTCATTGATTTATCTGTTCAAATTAATAGAGATTTTCCATCCACAATCTGTTCCTTGGTTCTGATTGTTAATTAGCACCGTGTCTCTAGTGTTAACTATACCTTGACGAAACCAATGTGAAATTTCTATTTATTTTGTTAATCACATCATCGGCAGTTGAACCTGGCATGTCCGACGCTCAGTCACATTTTCTTTCTTTCTTTTCGATTTTCATTTTTATGTCTTTACTTGGATTTTGATCCGGCTTTATAAACCTACTTGCCCAATTAATGATTATGAGGTGTTTTCACTCTTTATCTGTCTTCTCAAATATAATATTAACCCTTTTTTCTGTATGTTTTTTTTATCTTTTCATCTTTTTACCTGGCAGTTTGGCCTGTTTGGAAATATACTGTAAATCGAACTTGGATATGAATTCTATGAAGTCAAGACATACATTCCACCTTTAATAAGATGTTTCAACTGTCCGAGGGTGGGTCATGTCGCAAGCATCTGTCGCAGCCAAACCCGATGTGTCCGTTGTGGAGGCATGCCTATGAAGCCTGTAAGCAACGAGAAAAATTGAAATGCTCTTGTTCTGGTGGGAAACACTCCTCCGCCTATGAGGGCTGCACAACCATCAGAGAGGAACATTGCAACATTTCATACGCAGATGCTGAGAAAGCAGTAAAGACTGACATCTCCATCCAGCCAAGCACTCCCACACAATCCAGACAATACACCCCACCCATTACCAATTCAAACACTGACCATCAGCTAAATCCCCAAACGAGTCAATCATCAACGACTAAACCCACCGAAAAATTGTAAAACCAATTGCTATTAAAAAAAGACTCTGTTACTCAGACACACAGCATTGGTGAAACACAAACAGAACCCATATCTTCATGTTCATGCAATGATCAGTTCCAACAGAATCTCACAGAAATTCTTGTATAGGCTCCCTTGCGGATTCATGCTACTATGAAGAAGAAAGATGACCGAGTGGAAGCTGTCAAAATACTTATATCCCATATCTGCCAAGCCCCAGCAACCGTTGCACACAGTAGTAGACAAAGCAACCTCCATTATTGTGCGTGAATCGGTTTTGTGTCTAGCCAACTGTTCCCAAGTCTGAGTTTCATTAGTCCAAGTGCAAGCCCCGGTGCAAAAATATGAATCCAAATGTTTTCCTAAATTTGAAATTGTTGGCAGAAGTAATGAATGAACATGCAGAGGGTACACTTACTGTACTGCAGGACATAAGTCCCTTTGATGATCATTACGATTGCAAATGCATGTATGAAGTAAAACGACTATTGACATTTTTCAGTGTTTACAGAGCACAATAAATGTTTCTTTAACGTCTGAAAACTCCGTTTACCAGGCCTGAAAATACGCAAAAAGTCGACAAGAAAAACTAATAAATTCAGATAATTGCCTTTTAAGAGAAATGTTTCAAACTAATGTATTTTGTAACTTACTTTTCATTGTTCAACTACATGTATTTTGTTCCATAAATATGGTACATAAAATGCTAAATCCACTATCACCATGTGCCTCGCTAGACTTTGAACAAATATAGGAAGACTGGGATTAAGCCCGTTGCATCCTTTATTTTGAATGTTTGACTCGTGAAGTTATATGAGCTCTGCTTAAACATCAGCTTAAACATTGTCTTTACCTTCAGAATTTTAACTGATGGGACGAGCAAAACGTTGATGTCGCACAAACATTTCACACTGCCACAGGTTGTCTGGGTACTGCAACATGGCATGTTAGGGATTGTGGAACAGAAAGATGAAATGTGTGGCGAGAATGTAGAGAGCAGCAGCAGTAGCAGCCACTTATCCACGTCGGTAAGGTAGGGATCAGTGGTGCTACAATAATTTGTGACGTTTGCACTCACAAACAATTTTGTGAAGTGGACACGTTAAACTCTGTAGAAAGAAATCCGCCCTCTGATGGCAATTGTTAACTAGGGAGCCTCCCTTTTGCTGATAAAAGTAGCTGCTTCATGAGAGTTGAATAACGGCGGAGAATGAGAGCCACTTGTTGCTGATCACAATTCCAAGGAAGAATTAGTCAGTGCTGTCATCACCCATGGCACCAAACATCGCAAGTCTGGAGAGACCTACGAGGGTGAGAGACTCTATTGGAAAATGTGTTACGTTTTAGAGGCACAGTGTAGTGATGATGATGATGATGATGATGATGATGATGATGATGATGATGATNTTATAACCAGTTTATATAGTTGAGACCTCTTAAGGCCAAAACAAGACCCCACAAGACCAGTACAAGACCGACACAAGATTTCCAGTCTGATTTCAAGTCACAACATATCCAAATGAACTGCAACTAAGGTATTCCTTTTCACTGCTCACCCTGTTTCTTGTGTAACTATAAGTGTTAAAAGTCTCGAGTCCGAATCACGAGTCACTTGTTCAACGTTATTTACAAGTTATTTACAAGTTAATTAAACTGAATCTGGTAGCTTCTGGTAAAAATCCAACTTTTAATGCTAGGCTCGTCACAACCATGTTACTTTTTGTTCTTATCGTGAAAATACGTGACTCGAGTTGGCGAGTCACTAAGATCGATTCTAAGTCATCATATATAGTCTGAGTCATCCATAGTCACGGTGTCCGAGTGTCCGTGTTATTTTCCAGTGTGACTCAAGTTGAGTCCTTGTCACAAAATGTGACTCGATCCCTTGATTTGGATTGATTCGATGTCTACAACACTGCTTGTAACTGGTCTTATGATCAGTCTTGTGTCTGATTTTGCGACGGTCCCGACTACAAAAATGGATCCAAATCAATTAATTTCAACATGATTGACCACACACCCTATGGGATTACAGATGTGTAGTGAGCTATTACAATCAACAAAGTGTAAATCAGGAGTCATTCTGGGAAAATCTTGGAGTGTCACATATAAGTCCTGTCTTTCCGGGAGTTGAAACTAGCATATTAAATTGTATCACCGCTCGAAACCGGCGCCGCTCCAGTTTCGCAATGCCTCTGCGCACATGCGTAAAAGATTGTACGACAAGGCATGCGTAATAATAGAGCGCTGCCGACGCGGAATAATAAATGACTTCTGTATGGGGACTAACAGCCGCGCGAAACGGAAGCAAGGCGCATGTCGAAGCACGCTCGATCATATCAAAGTGTAGGCCCACTCGGCCGTTTGAAATTAACATGTTTGTGGCGGTCGGTGATACAAATGCGATGTCTACGCTGTCGATGACTCAGCCGAGACTCGCTCCTACGCATTAAAGACATTCGCCATTCAAGGGTAAGGCATCTCGCATGGTGAACCAAATAGACTATGAGAAAATCTCCGTGATTTCTTACATCGACTCTGTGGTTAGGCTGTTCTCATGTATAGCGGACTAGTGCGACCGGGCCACGCGCGTGCACCTTAAGCTTGCTGTCTTTACCGCATCATGCCGTCAGTGCAAGACGTACTGGCCCAGCAAGCCCGTGACGAGAGACTCAGCCTTTACAGCTCACCGACCTTCTGCCGGCGTAGTCGGCTGGACAACGAACTCGTCCGCGAGAAGCCGGACGACTTCGGCTGGCTCAGGGCTTTTGATCCCAAACGGTGCTGCTCAGCCACATTATCTAACCCCAGTATGGCGACCAAAGGGCCTGCCCGACCTTCCTCAGCGTCCTGCGCCACTGGACGCGCACGTAAGCTATCAGACACGGACTCGGCGTCTCTCAGTGACAAGGACCTGTCTCGTTCGACGCCAGGGACACCGACGATCGATGCCAAATCGCCCACAATGTACACTCTCCTTTCTCGCCGCCGAAATCAGCGTCCGGTATCTTTGGTTATGGACAACCACAGGTCGCTGAGCAGCCTAGACGTAAACTCGAACGACAACCAGGCTCAAGAGAAAAAGGACTTGAATGCATCCACTGGCTCACCGCGCACTAAGTCGTTTCTTGCCGTAGAGCGCAGCGCGGTAGAGAGTCTTAGCAAAAGTTGCGGTGACTTGCGGCACGGTGATTTAGAAACCCCACCCTTCGCCCGACAGTTTCACCAACGCCCGTCACACGGCCTGCCGGACCCGCTGCGGTGTCCAAGCCATCTGTCGTTATGTTCTGTGCAGGTGTCAAGCCCGACCCAGACAGACTCACATGCCGGGAGTAGGGTGAGCCTTCTGTCCGAGGGAGTGGACTCTTACGAGGGCTTGTACGAAAGAGCCTATAAGGCCACCTTTGTGCTGGGGTCACAGGAGTTACCTAACGTCAGGGAAAGCAAAGAGGAAAGGGCGAGGATGGTTCGTGAATGGCTGGCAAAACAACAGGAGGCTGAAGAATCCGCCGCCAACGCTAATGGCTCACCATCAGTAAAGTCCAAGTCAGAAGTTTTGCTAGAAACAGTGAAAGTTACGCAGACCGAAACTTCTGTTCCATAAAAACATGTCTTTTGTGTAAATAAGTCGACTATCTGCGTGTCAAAAGTGAACTGGTAGGTTCGGGATTTTCTATTTACTTCGTGAGTACTTTGCATCTCATCTTATACTAGGCCTACACCCTTTCTTCACCAGTCACGAAGGCCTGCGCTTATACATTCAACCTACAGTATAGTACTTCTAATTGGTAAACTGTGTTGATCTTTTGTATTACTACTGTATAACGATGTCACTTGTGGAAAATTATCCCACCGGTATTGCGATAATATATTTGCAAGACATATTTAATATATACTCCTTTCACATTAAATATCGTGTTAATAGCAAACAAAGCGTGAATAGTTTGGTGCCATATGTACCTGCTATACCTCACTTGCATCTTCATCCTACATAACATAATATCCGCTGCTATTAAGATTTGAGTGGTAATTGTTTACATGCACTATTAAAGTGCGGCGATAACCCTATGCCTAATTCAAGCCTACAGAATGTTTCAACTCTCTTATTGTTAAAGCCTCATTATTCCGTAGTGGCAAGACCGGTTTAGCAGTGCAGTACAATGGTTGGTTGGTTGGTTTTATCGATATACAGGCAGTCCGAAATAGTGTTAAATGGCAATATTACTGGAAAATTAGGTTGTGCGCCTTCTCAGTCATGCATACAATTAAGGTGTGAGACAAAAATCAATACAGTATTTGCATGTGCATTTTTACATGGGTTGTATTCTCTTGTCAGACAGCGCTACCTTATGCGGTCGAGATGCTGATTGCCCCATGGGAGAATACCATTATGTATTCACCCTGCCATACAGAAAGGCCAGAGCGAATTACCCGCTCTATCATGTTACTGAGCTTTGATTGCAAAGACAGACCTTAACATTATGTATGTACATAAAAAGAGCATGGTCGAACGCTGCTCTTTAATAGTGGGACATGAGCGATAAAGAACGAAATTATTAGTGATCATTTATAATATGTCTATGACTACAGCTTTTTTTTGAGTGGCATATGTGGCCAAACAATTATTTAATATTGGTTAGGTAAACTGCATTTGCGGTAATAATTTCTCCTCGAAAAATTTTCATAGTTTGCCTGATTTTTGGTACTAAAACCATTTTAAACTAATTCACAAAAAATGTATTTTGTCGACTATTGGGAGATATTTTTGTTTCCTATATTAAATCCGAGCCTCTGGTCTCATAGAATTATGGAGAGAATTACATGTACCTCGAAGTAACATCAAACACTGAATTACATTTCAAACTTGAAATGAATTCGATAGCAAAATTTGCCTAGTCAAAAGACCGCTGTACAGTGTTCGTGTTTTTCATTACATAACGGCAAGGCTAATTTCCTGCTTTTCATATCAATTTAAGGGGAGACGTCACATGCGACTGATTTGGTTGGTATCAAGTCTTTTTTTCTCTACGAGTACTCTTCAAAAAATTCCAATATTTATGATGTAATACATGTACCTTTTCTACGGGAAAAGATTGTAAAATATAGAATTAATATAAGAAGCGGCGAAATCAGTGACATGACTTTTGCTCAAACACTATAATATTCGGTAAATAGTCAGGTCTTTTGAATGCGCATCATTTGCTCCCTCTTATTTAGTTCTTTTTGTGGATCTGATACAGTATTCATGACAGATTTATCAAAGTTATCCTATATCTAAACAAATAGGACCGAGCTGTAATTCACTAAGAGATCATTATAAAAATGTACTATACTGGCTTTTAATTTGTAAAAGTCATTCTCTAATGGCACTGTATTGATTGGAAATGCAACTGGAAAACGCTTTGTTATTACGTAAATGAGTATAAGTAGCAGGCCTACTTCCAAGTGATCAAACGCAAAAAATTATTAAACCGAATATCACTAAAATCGATATATCTGCAGTGTATGCTTTGGGTTTTTTCTCAGTATTCCTAAAATATCCAGATGTAACCAAAACCTGTTACAAATTTTCTTTTAGAATAAGATTTTATTTTTCTGTCATAAGTACACTTGTGCTCTCCACCCCTCACCATACATGTACTTTTGACACCCTGTTTGTTAGTCAGTATTCAGTACCGACATATTTGGATTACTATACGCAAGCTTCTTCGAATTTATTATTATTATCATGTCAAGACTGCACCTGACATCAAGCATGCTGAATCTTTACAATTACACGATGTCAAATAACAGTGTGCAACAAAAGATAACAACTAAAAGATTCTTTTTAAAATGTCAAATTAAATGAGGAAGCATAGAAAGCCTTACGACTTGGAACCGTGTAATGTTTGACATCAAAAGGAGTACAGGGTTGCCACAGTCGTTAATAAAAATGAAAACAGATTGTTATTTTTTCAGTAATCATAAAAGCATGGGAATTTACGCGCTTGAGAATGTCTTGGGGGTATGTACGTGTATATGCAGGATTTCAAATGGCGAGGATTCAGGATGATGAAGGAATGCAAACCGCCGTCAGCCAAGTTATTGCCTTATTGCCCTTGGAAGGGGCATAGGCTGAAATGTCATTAGTTTGACCCTAAGACCAGGGGACTCTTAGAGAGGTTACTCCTGGCAGGTAAGTCCTTATCGAAGCACATGCGCCGCAAAGGAACGTCAAAACGTTCCTTGAAAGCACCATTTCCTAGTAAGAAATGACTCGTGTTGTAACCCTCTGAATGCCACTACCATCTTCAAATATAGTGAAGAACATTTGGAATATTGCATTGATTTCACTTGACGTCGATAACGCTACAGATAGGTACCGTAGATACGCAACGAATCATGCAGGAACGGATCGAGGGGGTCAAACTACCTGCTTTGACACATAAAAAACACACAAATAAAAAAGAATAAATAAATGAAACAGACCCCCCGCCCCGAAAATTCCCAGATCCTTCCCTGTCATGTACCGTGACGGTCGCGACACCGTTCAAGAATCCTCTGTATCTGGAATCAATCACTCCGTGTAGCTGTCCATATCTTGTTTTCCTCCTCGTTGGTGCTGCGGCCCAGTTACTACTCCATCCCGGAGGTGAATATACCCGCATAGATGCCCTATTTTCCTCCATTAGCCGCTTTCTGCCGGTTATAGACTGTTTTGTAATATTCCCGAGTGAACGTGCTTCTACCTCTTACAGGCTGCTCTTACGGGAGGCAGGAAAGTTACTGTGCACGTTTAGGGAGTCACGTTTGTGCATTACACGCGTCCGTGCGTTTCCTCACTATACCCTGTACCTTATTTTCCCATATTTTCTAGCTAAAAACAGATTGATTTCTTGTTTTGAAGAAGCTTACCTTACTTGCTAAGGGTTTTGCACGACGAAACCATTCCTATAGGAGGGATTTCAACAAAGAGGAAGGAAATTAGGGGAGAAGCTTCCCCTTCCTTTTTGCAGCGAGACGATTGAAATTATTTTGAAGAAGAAATGAAAAACGTTGTAACATTAATTCCTGACATAAATTTCTTAATAGAACCTCGCCGTTTATCGTTACACTTGCCTAGAATAGAAACAGATGTTAAAAAGACACTAAATAAATTTGAATTCAAGAACCAAAACGTCAATATGCCTACTATCAAATGGTGACGGATGAAATGCGAGCATCGTGTAATTTTGAATCAAAATTGCATTACGATTTTTCTTCTAATGAGAAATCACACTTAGTACACTTTTAATGTCAGTTTTGAAAATATGTCGTATTCGACAAAATTCAACGTGACTATAATTACTCTTTTCGCGATTATTCCTTAAACACGTGTTCGTCGTGTTCATCTCATAAATATCGTTATTACCCTTAATTCATGCATACTGTAGCCTGTAAAAAGACATTGGTTTCTTGGGCTGTCAACATCTGCGTCCCTACAGCTCTTGACATCGAATCACGGTTGATGAGGTGGATGTGGCTCTTAGGCCGATGCACCACAGCATTGAACAAATCTTTCTCTTAATTTCAAACCCTATATAAATCAAGGACCGCTTGGCGGTGAGTGCTACGACACCCATGATTGCTAAAACGCGATTACGCAACATAAAGATGCCTTTCAATGTGCATGTCAACACCTGTGCCAAGCGTTGCGTATCCGTCAAAATCGCTCCTGGGGCGGTTTTGACGGCCGAACGCAACGCACGCGCGTGTTTTGTTAACAGAGTCGATTTTTGTGTCCATTAAAGTAAAATGCACGCACACACTCCAAAAACGTACATATGGAAAGGCGCCCTATTACACTGATCAAATACTGTGTCAAACAAATTGCATAATGGCATACCATTATAGAGGACAGGACGTGGTCTTTTGATAATCATCCCAGACCTACTATACGGTGCATCACCTGCTATTTAATCTGTTTTGAACAACATCATTAACTGTAATTAAGAGTTCATTTAACAAAATGTGAACAGATGATATTTTAATGATAAAAAAGCTTTCACATTGCACTATAATAACGTTTTACAAACACGTATTATTTGCTTGGTGTTTTTAAATGCATTTTATATTCTTAATGGGAACGTTAAATCAAATTACAAATGAAAGACATTCAAAACTTGCGAAACAAAGGATAAAAATGCAGTGGTTAGTTACCTCTTGTGTTTTTATAGAAGGGGAACCTCTGGGTGTTTCCCTGGTTTTTAGGAAGTACAGGTACAAATAAACCACGATTAGCATGCAGTCGTTCCAGAGGTCATTACAGCAAATACATGTACATATACATGGAGAATGGTAATAGATTTATTTTGTGATCGACCCGCCACCAGGGCTCGTCGCATTTGGAGACTTTCTGCTTGATACCCCTTTGCTATTTTAGAGCACGATGGTTCATTGTCTTTGCACGTCACCTTGACAGAACAATTGGAATGGCATTTCATATCTTCAAGATTTCTTTATTCAGAGAGATCTTTTTCATAGTCAATATACTACGGCTTTTCTGAATCAAATCCTGTGTGAACAAGTCCTGTAGAAACCGTCAGTATAAAGTAAAGTGTATTGCTTTAATTATTAGCATTGCAGAAAACTGCAGGAGGTATACTGTTTAACGTTCCCATCCACTTCTTTTTGGGGCAGTGCCTTAAGTGTTTTATATAGAGAGAGAGCGAGAGAGAGACAGAGAGGGGGAAGGGTTCCCGGTAAATTTCGGATTTCTTTAGCTCTTCTTTCAAATTTTCTTAAAAGAAAGTTTAATTTCGTCAAAGAGGAGGTCACTCGCCCAAAATTGGATCCCAGTTTCAAAATAACACCATTCTGTTGGTGACCGTGCAATCTCCTGTTCGAACACGTCTTCGAATGTCTGCATATGGCTATGGCTGCAAGTCATCCACACACCTATGCAAGTGGCAGCCATCTCGAAGATTATAAAAAATAAATTAATTAATTAATTAATTAATTAATAGACAATTTTTTTTTAAACCATAACGCTAAACCATTTTTTTTAACTTGGTTTGATGCGGGCAATCACCAAAGTTTCAGCATTTTCCCTGGGGGATCAAAACAATACACGTTCTGAATCTGCCAGATCAGGAAGTCCAGGTTAAAAAAAGTCATCGCTTCGTGAGTACACGATGCCAGAATGAAAGGCGGATGTGACGAGGAAGAGTGTTTACCTTAGGTATCGTCTCGTGCAAGAATCGCCTTCTGATTAGGGGGGAAGTCCCGGCACAAGAAATTGGGGATTTAGGGGTGAAATTTCGCGAAAAGGTCAGTTCAAGATGAGTGTTTACTTTTCTACTTGAACTTTGAACCAGAGATCCATTTTACATTAAGGTTAGTCCATGATGGTTCGAGTCCCAAACAAACTCATTGGAGAAAATGGTGCATGCGTGGAAAATTACAAACACACACGCACAAGATGTTTGCGGAACTGGACTATTGCGCTGTTTAGCCTCGCAGTTTGAGCTATCGATGGCAAGTCTGCTCTGGTGAAGTCAATGTCAACGGTTCCAAGACCAAGTAAATCTAAAAGTTAATCTTTTCCAAATCAAAGGTCTGGTACTCGCCGCATAAATATGTAGTCTGTGTCATGTAATCTTTACCGAACCAGTCTGGATTACTAGTAAAGGCCCAAAAAGTATGTCAGCACCGACTACCGAAGCCCTGTTTTTATGCACATCTGCACTGCACTCCACCATCATTACACGGAAATTTAGCAGCTGAGAAACAACAGTGGCGTCTGTGAGTACAAGTAACGTGAGATTTTTGTTTGAATATTTATAAAGTCTAGTAAAACAAATACAGCATGGTTTATTTCCAGAAAATAGTGGGAATTACTAGTCCCAATGTGTAGGTAAGTTCGCGTCGGGAGGTAGTGAATCTGTCCTACGCCTCGGGACCAGTAATTCCCACTACTTCCCCTCAAACCATGCTGTTGTATTTGTATAATAATTATCTCCGTTTCAAAAAGATAATTGTTTCATATAACCATCGTTCTTAATTAAATTTTCTACAGAAATTATCCTCCACAACTAGAAACGGTAAGATCGCTTGTAACTTGTACGTGTGCCATATCAGCCAGTGCTCAACATTTTTGCTGATCAGCGTCTTGAAAACTGCCTACGAGTTGCTGGCTGTCTGTGTTTATTGTAATACAGTCACGCTGATTGATTGTATTACAATACAATTATCGATTGAAAGTCACTGTTGGACTGCTTCTTCGCCATTTTACGGAGACTAACTTCTGAATTTTGGTTAGTGAAATTATGAACACAAAAGTTCTTCATTTTTTCCGTGCGTAGCAACGGCTGACATAATATTGCGGTCCGTCGCCATCTTGCTCTGTATCAGTATCAACTGTCAATGCATTAAATCACTTATCCTCCTCCATCTAAACATTTTGATATCCTTGTGACATTCGTTTGTAACTATTTAAAAATACAACAAGGTAATGAAAAAATACATTGCTGGTT